CCAGGCTGGCCTCGAACTCACAGAGATCCGCCTGGCTCTGCCTCCCGAGTGCTGGGATTAAAGGCGTGCGCCACCACCGCCCGGCTTGTCTTTTATTTTTATATCTTTAAATTTATTATAGAGGCTGAAGAGATGGCTTAGTAGTAAGAGTACGGATTGCTCTTCCAGAGGACCCAGGCTCAATTCCTTGCACCAAATGGCAGCTCACAACTGTTTTTAACTCCAGTTCCAGAGGATACAAGGCCTTCACAGACATACATGTAGGTGAAACAACCATACACATAAAAAACTAAATTAAATCTACAAATGTACTGCATTTGCTGTGGGGTGCACCAGGGCCAGGCTCTGTTATAGCTGGTTCTATTTCCACTGTGTGTGGTCTGGACTCAGAGCTCAGGTGCCAGCCTTGGCGGCCAGTGCCTTACAGGCCGAGTCATCTGCACTAGGCCCTTGTTTATGATTTTTTTAAATAAAAAGTTTGAGCACGAGCAGAGTTCGACCTGCCCCTATATCTGAGGTATGGGATTAAAGCCTTTGTTTTTGGTTTTATGTAGCTCAGGCTGACCTGGAACTCACAACACTACTTTTTGCTTGGTTTAGTTTGGTTTTTCGAGACAGGATTTCTCTGTTTCACAGTCCTGGAACTCACTCTGTAGATCAGGCTGGCCTCGAACTCAGAGACCCGCCCTGCCTCTGCCTCCTGAGTGCTGGGATTAAAAGTGTGCACCACCACCGTCTGGCCTACAACACTACTTTCAATGCAGAACTTTAAAGACAGTTTGCCTTTAGCGACTGTCCAGTACACAATGGAAAACTCATTGAACGGAACTAGAGAAACATCTATCTTCAAGTAACAAAACTCAGAACCAAGACAAACATCCAGCTGTTGAAACCTGTTCCAATAAAATAAGATGAAGGAGGTGGGGAACAACAAGAAAAGGATAAAAAATATTTCAAAATAACTGATTCAGAGAAGAAACATATCTGCAGTTATCAGTGTTAACAGGCTACTGAGGTGGACATGATATATTGGAAGCAATGGCCATGCTTTTTTACTCCTAAGATAGGGCTGACCACAGCAACTTTTCCTATTACTAATATATATATATATATATATATATATATATATATATATATACATACATACATATATATGTGTGTGTGTGTGTGTGTGTGTGTGTGTAAGTACACAAACGTGTACGTGTACACACACACACACACACCAGGCATTATTGTCATGTACCCTTTATAGCAGTGGTTAATGCTGGGACCCTTTAATATCTTGTATAATATTAGAGGGACCAGCCTTAATATTATACATCCCAGGGGCTCAGGAGAGAGAACTACCAACGGCAAGGACTATTTTCAGGAAATAGAATCTCAGCACACCGAGCTCTCTAGTCCACTTGCTTTAATTCCTCTGGTATAACACCCTATTTACACAGCTTCAGTTCTGTTCTCGTGCTTAGCTCCTTTCTTGCCTGATTTCTCTCTATATTTACCTACTGCTCCCTCTACGTTCTATCTTAATTCTCTCGTCTTAATTCTGCCTCATCTAGGTCCTTTTCATCTCATTCTTACCCAGCTAGGACTTCCCCATCTGACTCTTCCTCATCTTCCATCTCGTTCACACGTTCTCTCTGGTCCAAATCCTCCTTATCCCTCTCCATTCTACATGTTCCTCCTAAGTCTCTCAGGAGTCCAGTTATAAACCCAAGCAACAGCAGTCCCCTGGTTGAGCAAGGTCACCAGACTTGAATTCTACGGGGTCATAAAGGCAGGTAAGAATTTTCCTCAGGCAGTGACCACCAGGCTTTCTTTTACAACCCAAAATGGGAGTGGTAAAGGAGGAGGTCACCTGAGTGCTAATCACAGGTTAGTATATGAAAAAGGGGATCTGTGTGCTCAATCTACATTCCTAGAAGTGGTTGGGTAAAAAGTTAGGGGGCTATTACTAAGGTTGTGTAAGAAAGGAGGGTCTCACCCAAATTGCACAAGAAATAAAGCTATCTAACTGATCTAGGAGACAGGTGTTGTTTTGTTTGGCCTTGGATGCTTGATTGGCATTTTAGATAAATACACTGTTTCGAGTTCTTGGAAGCACACAAGAAAATCATTTTAGGAACCAGCTTATATATATATGTATATATCACCAAGACTTAAGCCATGGCTTGACCTTTGGAGAAGTCCTTGACTTTTCCAAGTAGTAGCTGTTGTGATAGTAGCTGAATTTCATTACGTTTTCCTGTGGCTTGCAGCATTAATACAGTAAGTACCTCATGCTGTGTTGACCTCCCCCAACCGTAAAATTATTTTGTTATTTCATAACTGTAGTTTTGCTACTGTTATGAATTTGTCATGTAAATAATTTTGGAGACAGAGGATTGGCAAAGGGGGTAATGACCCAGAGGTTGAGAACCACTGCTTTACAAGTAACTCTAACCAACTTCAACCAGGGTTTGTTTCTTATCATTGGGTATTTCAACTTTTTGGAAGTTTGCGACTTTCCAAAGCAATTGACCTTTCCTTTGGTTCTTTTCTCTGCATGTACTCTGAAGGACGTTGGCAATGTGTTTACGGTTGTTCTAGTTTACATGTGATTATGTTAAATTCTTGATGCTTACTTAACAGTTATCAAAACTATGAAAACATTCATAGGGTCACAGAGATGAACTGCAACAGCCAGCATGCAAAGAGGTGTCCTCAAAGCCTTTACGACAGCAAGCAGGAAGAGCAGTACAAGGACGACAACTTCATCCTCCAAGCCCTTTTGGGGTGACAACCCTGGAGCCACACTGTGTGTGTTTAACCCTGCCTTCACCATTCACAGAAGCAAAGGGATGGAAGAAGCCTGCACTGGCCCTCTCAGCCTGGGACAAGGACAGCACATGGCCATGGAAACTGCTATCAGCTTCCGTGCACTAACACATAACCTTAGCTCAGCACCAGGCACTGCTCACAGAGTAATTGTATCAGCATTAGCTACTCTAGCAGGTTAAACAATCCTAATCTGAAAACCAGAAATAGGAAATGCTACAAAATGCTGATGATACAGTAAACGGAAAATTACACACTTGATCTCAAGTGATGGAATGTGGACAAGAATAGAGATGCACTAAAAATGTCCTATGAAATTACCTTTTTATTCTTTATTTTTTTGAGTCTTATTTATGTAGCCCAGGGTGGCCTCAAACTGGGCAAGGGTGACCTTGAACTTCTATGCCATCATACCTAGGTTTAGATGGTGCTGGAAACAAAGCTAGGATGTCACCTGTGACATGCAAACACTTCATTAACTGAGATATGTCCTCAGCTCCAATTTCAGGATTTGTGTATAAACATGTAAGAAGTAAGGGACAGTGGCTCATGTCTACAATTTCAGCACTTGAGAGGCCAGAGTAGGAAGACTGACAAGAGTTAAGCAATGGTCACAAGGTCATCTCCAGGCCAGCCTGGTCTACAGTGAGGATGCCTCAAAACAAATAACAAATAACAAATAAGCACCTGGTGGTTGGTGATGGCGCACACCTTTAATCCCAGCATTCGGGAGGCAGAGACAGGCGGATCTCTGTGAGTTCAAGCCAGCCTGGTCTATAGAGAGAGATCCAGAACAGCCAAAGCTAAACAGTGACTCTGTCTCGAAAAACCAACCCCACCCCCACCCCCATGCAAAGTAAGAAAAACTATGAATTTTGTGTTAGAATTGGTTTCTATCTCTTAGATATTATATACATGCAAATGCTATAAAATTCAAAATCTAAAATGATTCTATTCCCTAGCATTTCGGAGAATAAACAGTCAACTTAGATTTTTATGTAGCAAAGTATTCTCAGGACTCAGTTAGTGGAGTTTTGTATAGTCACACCATAGTATAACCTTCACCACCGATTTTTAGGATGTTCCTGGCTGTTCCTCAGTTCCTCAACTGTTTCATAAACGTTCTGAAGGTCTGTCTCCTCAGTCTTCAAGATCCCTACTGCAGAAACCTCACAGAGGCTGCTAATCACCAGCTGCAGGACCAGTGGTTCCCACCTGCAACCCCAGCACTCAAGAGGTAGACTAAGGCAGGAGGACTGCCTGAGTCCCGAGGCTTCTCAAGGTTTCAAACAAGCAAAATAAAAATACAAAAAGCCTTGAATCAGGTCCTTTACAGACTGGTGTAATTAATTTAGCATAATTCCCTCATTGTTCATCCATTTTTGTGGTGTGTTCATAATGTTATTCTCTTCAAAGTAGTAATTTAAAAAAGTTTATTTCTTCTTGTTCTCTCTCCTCTTTGGAGATAAGGTCTTGCTTCATCATCCATGTTGGTGTTAACTCATTAGTTCCTTCTGCCTCCAAGGCTGGGACGACAGGTGGGTACCATCACTCTCAGTCAATTCTTATACATTTACTGTACCAATACACATCATGGAAATGTTTTCCATTCCCTATGGAGTGCCAACATGGGGAAGTATGTCCTGCTGAGCAAGAATCTAGCCCGCTCTCAAGTCTTTGCTATCATCAACACTTTCCCTGTCCTGACAAGGTGGGATGAGTGTGCTACATTACCTTTGTAGGTCAATTTGTCTCTCTGCTGGTGCTGCCTTTTTGGCTCCATCTTGTAGCTTGGGTGCTTTGGCATTACCTGCTTCCAGACCCCCAGGGCTCTCCTGGCTGCCTGCAGCTCTCTTCCTTCCCTTGCTGGGAGCTTTATTTAGATCATCATTTTTGGTTGCATTGCCCTGAGAATCCGATTTGGGGCGACGTCCTCTCCTAGGTTTGGAAGGGGCAGGAGGTCCGGACTCATCGACTTTCTCATCTGGTTTCTGTTGGATATTCTCAGTACCAGCTGCTGTTACAATTCTTTTCTTTCCTCGGTCACTGCTGATGTTGCCTGGGGTAGGCTGATCAGAATTAATTTCCTAAAAGAGCACAAAAACAATATTGTCAGCATAAATTCCTTAAATACCTGAGTATACTAGAAAAGATGATGAATTTAAAAAAAATAAACTGATTTTTTAATTTGGCGTGTATGTGGGTCCAATTCATTCATGTGTGTGGAGTGCACTGTGTGTTCTCTTCTTCAATTTTCAACCTTAGGCCAGGTCTCTCCCAGACCCTCCTAGGGTTACAGGTGCATATGAAAGCACACCTGGATCGTTATATCGGTACTGGGATCCAAGCTCAAGTATGGTTATTCATCAAAGGCTCTCTACCACTGACTCATCTTTCTAGCTTCTGAAAGTCCTTTAAACTTGTTATTATGCCAGGCGGTGGTGGCAGCAGCGCACGGCTTTAATCCCAGCACTCGGGAGGCAGAGGCAGGCGGATCTCTGTGAGTTCAAGGCCAGCCTGGTCTATATAGCAAGATATAGGACAGGCACCAAAGCTACACATTTTTTTTTTTAATAAGAAAAAGAAAAGAAAATCTACTTGGTTTCTCATCATTCTTGTTGGTTCCTTTTTTTTTTTTTTTTTTTAAACTAAAGACATTCACTAGATGTATCACTTTCAACATGGCTTTATTATGTTGCCTCTAAATAAACTTTTTTTGTTTTTTTCTTAGCTTCTAGCTTCCTTTGCAGATTTTTTTTAAATGTGAATTCAACCGTTAACTCCCTTTTTCCTATTTAAAAAATCAATTTACCATTACCTCATATAAAATGTCACAAGTAATAAAACCCCATTTCATCAAAATAGGTGTAATGGGCTTTGGGAGAAGCAAGGACAGGCAGAATGAAACTGACCTTCACACAGACAACATGTAGGAACAAGTCAAGAATTTAAGTGTTACAGTTCTAGCCCATCAAAAGAAAAGAGAAGTCAGGCTTGGCACTCACAGAAATCCCAGAATATGGGAGGTTGGGGCAGGGAACGGCCACAAGTTTGAGGCCAGCAGCAGCCCCAGAGCAGACACCAGAGAAGCCTGGGTTACATACTGAGACAAAAAGCAAAAATTTTCCGTTGCCCCAGAACAGTATTTCTAGAGTGAGGGGAAACAACAGGGGGATATCACAAGCCTTCCTGTTACAGAGCACAATCCAGAACTCAGTGTCACACCCAGTGCTTTACTTTAAGTCTCCCTTGAGAGGATGGGTAACCCACAAAAGTGCTCGCCCTAAGCAGTCCCCACGAACTTTAACAACACATCACAAGAGGGATAGGCTGTGGTGATGTATTGTGTACCCTAATAAAATTCTCCTGAAGATCAGAGAACAGAACAAGCCACTAGAGTAAACATAGAGGCCACCTTTAATCCTAGCACTTGGGAGGCAGAGATCCGTCTGGATATCTCTGAGTTCAAGGCCACAAGCCAGGGAGTGGTGGCACACACCTTTAATCCCAGTACTTGAGATCTCATGCCTCTGCTACCAGTATTTGGGAAGCACACAGGCCTTTAGTCCCAGCACTAGGAAGGAAGTGAAATGGCTGGGCGGAGACGGGTGTATACAGTGTGAGGAACAGGAACTAGAGTCTTTTTCGGATGATGCTCTTTCAGTCAGAGGCGTTTGGGCTGAAGCCTTCTCAGTTGGACCCCTTTTAGCTAGAGAGCTTTTTTGGCTGAGAATCCAGAGACTTTCAAACAGAGGATTCATGGATTTGGTGAGGTGAGACATGGCAGTGGCTTGTTCCTTTGTCTCTCTGATCTTTCAGCATTTACCCCAATATCTGACCATTTAGCGATTGGCGTGACAATAGGCTTAAGTCATCTTGAAGAAACAGATTTCTGGGGCAAACAAGATGTGTCGACCACACATCTATACTAACTGGAGACTGACTCAGGGCCTTCTATATGGGCAAATCCTCTATCACTAAGCTAAGCCTGAAATCAACCAATATGGTAGAGCTTGTATGTAATAATCCCAACACTAGGGAGGCTGAGGCAGGAAGATTTCAATTTTGAAGTCAGCCTGGGCTACAAAGCAAACTACCCATAAGGTCCCACTCAGGAAAATTATGTACATATGCATATATAAGGAAAGCAAGTAAAAAGCCAAATGTGGAGGGAGGCAGTATTGACAATGTCCCTCACTTGAATCCAAGCAATCTTGGTTCTTTGAATACATCCAGTTTTCATCTTTTATGTTACAATTTGCCTCAG